GGGAGGGGAAGGGGTGGAGGCCACCCCTTTGGGGACAGGGGAGAGTGGAGCCAAGAAGAGCGGCCCCTGAGGGAGAGGGGAGCAAATGTCCTTAGGAGCTCCCAGAAAGGAAGCAGCTTGCCAGCCCCTTGACTTTAGCCCCTCGAGAGCCGCAGACTTCTGATGTACACAACTGTGAATAACTCACCCGTGCTGTGCCAGCCTCCAGATATGCGGTAGCTCATGACAGCAGCAGCAGAAAATGATGCAGATGCGGCGGTGACAGACCTTTCCAGAATGTCCTGGCGCACAGCAGCTGATGTCATAGAGAAGGTTCTAGAAGTGCTGGCCATGGAGAAGGACTGAGGGCCCTGAAGCTCTTGGGAGAAGGTGGCTGAGTTATTAAGGCAGTGGCACCGGAAAGGCCAAGAGCCAAGGGCAGGCTGAGCACCTTCCCTGAGCAGACACTGAGGCTCCATGGGGGCCACTCCGTCCTCCTCCGGCGGCCACCAGGTCGGTGGGGAACCGGGACTGATAAGTGGAGATGGCGGGGGCGGGGCCCAGGGAGGGGACAGCACCTCCCTCACTTCTCACTGGGGTGTGGATGGAAGCAGGGCTGGACAGGTGCTGGGCGGCAGAGAGGTGGCCGAGCCGCGCGGAGCAGATGGGGCCTCCTTCGCGTGCTCGGCCCAGTGGACGTGAGCTTCAGAGACTGGAACTGCTGATGCAGACTGGCGGAGGCACAGAGGAGAGGAGGGAGGAGCGCGGGGAGGAAACACCGACCAGCCAGAGGAGCAGCCTGGACCAGCTCTCTGAGCCGAGCGGGGCCTGCTCGGAAACGCAAACAGACTCCCACGCAGGCCGCGTGGGAGTCCACACCGGCTAAGGCAGAGCTCGAAGAGCGAATGTTGGCAGGGAATCTGGGGCTCTGTGGACCTAACCCCCTTCCTTCTCAACATGAGTAGGCAACTGCTATTTTATTTATTTTATTATTTTATATTTTTCATTGAGTTTATTGGTACATTCTAGGTACACAGTACAGTTACATTCATCCCTGGGATCTTGTGCCTTTACATGACAGGTCTTGGTTCTCATTTTTTCCCCATCCCCTGCCCTCCCTTCACCCCCTCCACCCTTCCCTTTTTTTTTGAGACAGGGTCTCACTATGTAGTTGAGACTGACCTGGGACTCACTCATTATGTAGCCCAGGCTGGTCTCAAACTCACAGAGATCCTCCTGCCTCAGCCTCCCAAGTTCTGGGATCACAGGTGTGCGCCACCACGCCCGGCCTGTCACCCTTCCCTTTTTACAAAGACTTTGTTTCCATTTTTCCCTTATTTCCTTTCCTCTACCCTTCCCACTTCCCCTACACCTTTAGCCCTTTTCTTCCTATTTCACATTATCAGTTATACAACTTGGATCTTATTTACACTTTTAATTTTTTACACCAGAGAAACTATTCCATATTTACATGTGTGTCCTATTTATTTCACTTAAGAGTATGGCCTCAATATGCATCCATTTTCCTATGAATGACTCTAGTTTCCCCTTCTTTATGGCTGAGTAGTATTACATTTTATAGAGAAACCATCTTCTTTATTCAGTCTCCAACTGATGGGCAATTGGGCTGTTTCCAAGTTTTAGCTATTACAAACTGTGCCACTATAAACATGGGTGCACATATATCACTGTGGTATGATTCTTTTAATTTTTTGGGGAAGACACCCAGCAGAGGGATGGCTGGGTCAAATGGGACCTCTAATCCCAGCTCTTTGAGGTATCTCCATATTGATTTCCACACTGGTTGCACCAGTCTGCACTCCCACCAGCAGTGGAGCAGGGTTCCTTTCTCCCTGCATCCCCACCAACATTTGTTATTGTTTGATTTCTTGATAGCAGCCATTCTTTCTGGGGTGAGGTAAAATCTCAGTGTAGTTTTCATCTGCATCTCTCAAATGACCAGTGATGTTGAACATTTTTTCATATATTTATTTGTTGCTTTTACTGCTTTGTCTGAGAAATGTCTGTTCATATCTGAGGCCAATTTTTGAATCCGGTCTTTATATTTGGGGGTCTGACTTTTTTGAGTTCTTTATATATTTTAGATAGTAGGCCTTTGTCTGAGGAGCAGCTTTTTCCCACATTGTAGGTTTTCTCTTAGCTGTGTTGGTGATTTCTCTTGCAGAGGCAACTGCTATTTTAGTTTGTCATCATGGGGAAACTGAGGCACGACACAGTTGAATAATTTGTCTAAGGCCACACCTGAGCACCTAGACTAGTGATGGCGAACCTTTTAGAGCTTTGGTGATAACAAGCAGCCCACCGCTGCACGTGGCCATAGGTTCCCATGCCTGTCCTAGGTGCTGGGTCCTAGGTGCCAGGAAGTAGGTAGGTCCTGACTTCCTGTTACATCTTGTAGTCTGAGGAACAGGGGAGGGCATAAGCCAAGACAGTCAGCAGGGGTGGTGGTGCACACCTGTAATCCTGGCACTTGGGACCAAGGGAGAAGAATCACCTAGAATTAAAAGCCAGCCTAGGCTACACAGTGAGACTCTGTCTCAAAAACACAATTACTCCAAAAAACTACCCCCCACCCCAAGAAACAAGACAATCACCTGCTTGGGGTCACAGAGGGCTACTACTCTGCTACAAAGGATGACCTTGACCATTTGTGGGAAAATGGATGTACCTGGAGACCGCAGTGTCAAGTGGAACACATCATACACATAGCTTAAATATCACAGTTTTTCTTATGTGAGGAGCCCAATGTATAAATAAATAAAAGAGCAAAATAAAAGGTAGAGGACAGGAAAAGAGGAGAAAAATCTTTTTCAAAGGGAAAAGGGCCCAAGGGAAGGAGGGGGAGGAAAGGGAGGGGAAAGAGAAACAGGCAAGTTAAGATGCGTGACCATCCTGCGCTGCAGACGCGCGCTACTACGAACTTTAAAAATGAAACCCAAAATGCAGTAGAGATCAAGGTGCCCCGGTGTGCGGTGACCCAGGCGGAGAACTGGGGAGCCCTGGGTGGGGCCTTCTGCTTTCCTCTGCCCAGGGCCTCCTCTTCCCCAGGACCGGAGCGGGGACCGTTCCTGGACCATGTGGGCGCCCGTGCTGCTCTCCCTGCTCTGCTGCCTTGGGGCTCCCAGCGGTGCCCGCATCCTGGGGCGCTGCACTGTGGCTCGGCTGCTCCAGGAGCGGGGCCTGGCCTACTTCGAGAGCAAGTTCAACCCCTCGGCCGTGTACGAGGACGTGCAGGAAGGCGTCACAGGCTTCGGCCTCTTCCAGATCCGCGACCGCGAGCGGTGTGAGCCCGGCGGGAACCTCTGTCACGTGGCCTGCTCAGGTGTCGGGTCTGGGGCAGCAGGAGGAGGCCGAGCAGGTTTGGGGTGACAGAGACCCCTATGCACAGGGGCGGAGAAGGGGTCCGGGCGTGAGACACGCTGCAGGCCCTGAGCCCCTGAGCCCCTCAGAGCTGGAAGAGAGGGACAGGGAGAGGGCGCCCCAGGTCTTCCCTCCTGGGGACAGATGTTGCCACTTTGAAAAGCAAGGTAGTCGCTAGGGCACACAGGAGCTGTTAATGAGGGGAGCTCACCCGCCACTCCCAGGGTGCCCAGAACCTGTGGCAGGTGAGGTGCTGCCTAGGATTCCCTCCCTGTAAGCATCTGTCGGGCACCCACCACCTGCAGACCCGTGATGCTGCTGTCTGCCAGGTGCCCTCCCGAGCCCTTCACCTAATACTCACAGTGGCCCCCACTGTTCTTATACCTTTCTCTAAGTGGGGAAACTGAGGTCCAGGAAGACTAAGCACATGCCATGGCCCTCAGCTGGCCAGCAGGGGAGCTGGGCAGGAGCCTCAGCAGTGTGGCCCCTCCCTGAGGCCACAGGGAGGCCAGAGCCAGCCAGGCGCCTGACACCTGAGCTGGCCCCATGGAGGGGCCACACCTCCAGGGTGCAGGCCCCCCTGAAGCCTCTGTCACCCACTTCAGATCCCAAACTGAGTTTGCAGGAGGCAGCAAGGGTTGGGGCAAAGCTGGCGGCCTCCCAAGTGGTGTGGGGTGAACCCACCGTGTGATGGACCCCATGGTCGGCTTGTGGGCTCCAGGGTCCCAGGACAGCCAGGTCCATGGGGAGAGGAAGTGGCGAATCTTCACCGTGGGTCACCTAGTGCAGGGCGGATGGTCCGAGGACATGTGTATTTAACGGAGAGACTACTAGGAGAAATAAAAGACAAATAACTAGGATTTGGTAAAAGATGACCTCAACCTGCTGAGGGAAACCCAGGGGTGGATTTATCTTGGGACCACATGGAAGCTGCCTAGCCTGAGCCCCAGCACCCTGGGCATCAGTCTCAGCTGCTGTGGGTTGCTGTGGCGTCACCGCCTTCACTGCCTCCACAGCTCTGCTGAATCTGAACCCGAAGGACACAATCAAATGTGCCAAGAAAATCGTGCGAGGAAAATATGGGCTGGGAGCATGGTGAGTGGTGCCTCTTTGCCGGCTGGGGTTGGCGGGCCTCGCGCGGCCGTCAGCTGTGGCCTGGACCACCTTGGCAGCGGATCTCCCTCAGGAGGGCCTCCCCCACCTGGGACAGGAGTGGAGGAAGCGGCTGCCACGCGTGGCCTTGAGCTCCGCCCTCTTCCCCAGCTCGCTCAGAGCTGTGCGGTGAATGCCTTTCACATCAGTCTGGGTGTGGCTTTGACTGCTCTTCGCTCATGTTTGTACAGGGCTTTTGAGCACTTTTGAGGTTCTTGATACACACTGTGCATGACTCTCCTGTAAGAGTGTGATAATTTTGCTGTCTCTAAAGTGTTTACTAAAATGTCTCTTCACCCTCCCCAGTCAAAAAGACTTTGCCATTTGAAAGGTGAATAATAATTTTTTTATATCTTCTTTTTGCCTTTTATGATACCTCATCAGGGTGTTTTCTCCTATGTTTGTTATATATTGCTATTTATCTGTGATTTTTTCTCCTGTCCTTTGGCTATTTTAAAAATTTAAGTCATAATTGTTGGAAAGGGCTATTTACATGGCTGGTGTATTAACCAATTGTTGTATAATTGTTGCCAAAAATAACTGCCTCTCAAATTTCCTCTTAAGCCAGATATTTACAGAGGAAACGTTCTAAGAAAATGCAAGTGACAGGGCCTGGGTCTGATTCTCTCTCTCAGTTTTATACTTATTCACGTTGCTACGTTTACATTCATTCATTCATGGTATTCCACTGCATGGATCCCCATTACATCCAAGTGATTGATCCATTTTTCTCCTGGTGGGCATCTGGGTGGTTTCTGTTTCTTTGGTTTTGCCATGAACATTTTATCCTTGTCTTCGGTGAAGCTATAAATAGATTTCCATTGGTTATATCGAAGGATAAAGTTACCAATTATTAGAGACTCTTTTTGGATTTGCTATATTGTGCCAAACAATGCTCTAGATTTTTTTTTAATCGCTTTACACTCCCACCAGTAATTATGGATTTTAGTCGCCCTATCTTCTCACCAGTATTTGGCATTTTCTAGTTTATTCTCATGACTGTGTAGACATACTGCTTTATGGTTTTATTTTCCAACCCCCAGTTGCTAGTGAAGTTTGGTGCTTTTTCCAATGTTCATTGGTTTTGAGATATCTTCTATGTGTGTGTGAAATGCCCGTCCAAGAATTCTTGTCAGATTTCCTTCTGTGTTGTGTACCTTGTTCATATTAATTTGTAGGATGTAGTTATTTATTCTACATAAAAGTCTTCACGGGATGCATGAGTTTCAAACATCTTCTTTCATTCTGTGGATCACCTTTTGCCTTCTCAATGGTAAACTGAAGTTGTTCATCTCATGTGTCATCATTTTTCTTCATAATTATTTTAAGCAACATATTTGCCTAATTTTTGGTCATGGTGACTTTCCCCTTTTTTCTGAAATCTTCACCATTTTACCCTTCACATGTGGCTGTCAACTTTTAATTTCTTGCCTTCCAGCACTGGCTGGGGTCTCCGGGAAAGGTTGGGTAGAAGTCATGACAGACATCCTTGACTCACTTCCAATCTCACAGGTACGAAGTTCAGCATTTTATTATTGTGTGTGATGTTTGAAGTTTTCTGAGATTCTCTTAAGCAGGTTGAGAGTGCTGCTTCCCATTCTAGCTTGCTAAAAATCCTTAAAAATCACAAACACGTGTTGACTTTGAGTTATTACGTTTTTGGTTTCTTTATGATTCTGTGTTACTTTGTCCATTTCACTTTTAAGATTCAAACTGTTTTTTAAAAATCTCTCTTCTCTCCTGTGGCTTTTTCCAGAGGTCATGCCTGGTTATATCTTATTAGGGATGTCAGTTTTAGGAAATTTACTCCTGGATCCAGCAGAGTGTTGTTCTCAGAAGAGCGTTCCTCTGAATTTCATGATGATGCCCCAGTTTTCTTCTTGTACCCTTTTTCCACAGTCGCTGTGCTAGTTTTGTCCTCTTCAGCCTTCTCAACTAGGACATATTTGCCCATCCTCGGTATCTGCCAAGCAGACAGGTTGTGAGGCTTTTCTTGTCTCTGAGTACTATGAGTGGGGTGCTGTCCCTTGGTACACATACATCTTGTCCCAGTTTCCAGTTTGGAGGTCTTGCTGGCAAGAATGTCTGGTTCTTCCTGATTGGCTGAACCAGCGCAGTTCACCCAAGCCCTACATTCCCAGCATGCATTGCTGCTATGTGTCTGCATCCGTGGCGTTTGTCCTGGGCAGCGTGCTATCCAGGGGACCCTGCACCTCTGCCAGTGTCTATCTTCCCTGCCTTTTCTCCTCCCATCCTATATCTCAAAATTGCTTACCTGGTGAATTCGGGGCATTGGAGTCTCCAGTTAGATCTAGAAACAATGCTGTATTTTCTCTGTGCCAGATGGTACAACGTTTCAGATCTAAAAATGGGGTTTATCTTATGATCAATGTGCCCTGTCCTCAAAGTTGTTATTAAATCATCGCTGCCTCAGGTCTGGGGATTTAGCTCAGTGGTGCCACTGTCTGCCTCACAAGCGCAAGGTCCCAAGTTCGAGTCCCAGTACACAAAATAACAAAAGCGAAATCCATCCATGCCTCTTACAAGAGAAGCCTTGGCTTTCACAGGCTGAAAAAAGATGGGAATCGTTGCCACAGGAGACCTATGCTCTTACCAAGCAGAAAGCAACCAGGGATAGCTGTCCAGCCCCCAGGGGTCCAGGCCCAGGGTTAGGCAGTGGGGAGGGCAATGTGCAGAGAGGCTCATTTCCTAGGTGAAAGCGTGGTGGGTGTACCTGCCTGACCCCTGGGCCTTGGGGCGGGGGAAACTGCCTCAGACCCCCACACAGCTGGGCTGTCTGTCTCAGGTTAGGCCTTCTGCTGTGGCCTTTTGTCTTTTTCTGTCTTCAAGATATTGTGGAGCTAAATTCAAAGACTGAGTTTGTTTCTTTGCGTCTGCGGCCCTAGCACACAGTCTGTGCGCCCATTGCAAACCTGGGGCTGCATGTAGAGCCACCACCAGGAAGCAGTCGTAACAGTTTTGTTTTTAAATTACTTTTTAAAGAAAAGGTAAAAGACCAAAACTTTTCCCATTTATCAGCAGCAACCACAGGTCAGCATACTTCTTAATCAGAGAAAAGATGTACACAGAGATATCTTAAAACACCCGCAGAGTCTGGGCTCACACGCCTGCAGCCTGCTTCTCCTATTAGCAGAGCTGGGCATCTCAGCTTGCACTCCCAGCGCATCTCTGTCGTCCCCATCACAGCCACGTGCACCTGCCTCGCGGATGCTGGGTCCCTACAGACAGGCACCTGGGGTGCTCCCATGTTTCTCCCTGCCTGCCTGAGGATTCTTCCACCAGCCGCCGGGCTTCTGGAGCGCCCGTAGGGTAATCTCTCACAAGGGACTTGTCAGGGCCACTCGGTGCATTTACAAGTCGGAGAGTCCTTGCTACAAGGTCACCCTCAGGGGATGACCTGCCACACCACACGAGGGGCCCACATCTCCCTGCTCAGCAGCCTGGAAAACTACAAACACGTGCACAGTTTGGGAAGTTCAGGTGCAGAAAATGATGCCCTTCTGTGCTGCTTTGCATTTTAAGCGGCAAGAGGAGCTGAGCATCTTTCCCTGTATCTCCTGGCTCCGGCTCTGTGAACTGCCTTATTCACATTCTTTTTAGTCTTTTCTGGGTGCTTCCTTGCTTAGGGCTTTCAGATTTCTGTCCATCCTCCCTGTGTGAATCTTCTTTTTTAGGTTTGTTATTTGCATTTGGACTTTGTATATGGGATTTTCAGCTACATGAGTTTTATAGTTTCACAGACTCAACGCTTTCACCTTTTCTTTTGTGGCTTCTGGGTTTCTATGAAATCTCTTTCTTGTTTTGGTACTGGGGATCGAACTCGGATCCTTTTGCTTACAAGGCAGGTTGTGGAACCATTGAACTATTTCCCTGGCCCTGAAGTCTCTTTCTTAGAAAGGTCTTTCAGAGTCTAAGGTTGTAGAGAAATCGAACTATGTTTTCCCTTTATATGAGAACAGTCGGGCATAAAATAAGCTCTATATTAAAATTTTCTTAAATAAATTGAAAAATAGAATTTTTATGATTTTCTTTTCTTTTTTAACTTTATATTTTTTATTAGTGCATATTTGTCCTACAGGATTTTTATGATTTTATGTTTTGTTCTTAAAGCTTGGGCCCTCTTGGAATTTCTCTTGGCATAAAGTGAGGTTGGGATGGCTTTCAAACAATGAGCTGTTAGCCTTCATACCCCTCAGTCATGAATCCCTTTTCACCTCCGAAAAGGGAAAGTGGAAGTCCCTCATTCCGCTGACTGTGCCTGGAACACCCTACCGGTCCCAGCTTTCCAGTTAGCAGGGTGACCTTCAGGGGTAAGCAGCAATGAGCTGAGACCACATCTGCCCTGTGACTCTGAGGATGGGGAGCTCAGCAGGCAGGGCCTCCCCGCCTCTCCGGCCCCAGGAGTGAGTGCTGGTCAGCGCTCAGCAGCTGGTCGTCCCCAGGACCCAGCACTGCAAGGCCCGGAAGGGAGGATGGTGGCCCTTGTGCACTGTCTGCCCCCAGGCGCGCGCACGTGTGTGTGTGTGTGTGTGTGTGTGTCCTCTGCTGTTCTGTAGCTGAAGGACAAGGGGGCCCTTGCTCTGGGGGCGGGGGGAGCCCGCCCCACGGAGGGACCCAAGGATTCCTGTGGCTCCCGGCTGGCCTGATGCTCCAGGGCCAGGGGCCAGGTCTGGGTGCACCATAAGGGCAGTAACTCTTGGGCCAGCACCAGCAGGAGGGAAGGGGCCTCACCGAGCTGGCTGGGCAGGGTCGAGGAGCTGAAAGGGATTCTGAAAACCCAGGGAGCAGGGGCCTGCAGGGGGTGACTGGCCCCGGCTGGGGCAGCGCCGAGGACACGGAGCTCACTTCAGGAGGGCCGAGGGTGCTCAGGGTGCGGGGCTGGGGAGGTGCCACCGCCACGTGGCTTCCCATGTGAGCCGGGATGGCACTCGTACCCTGGCGTGGACCGAGCCTCCAGGAACGCACCCACGGTGTCCCCTGCTGACCCTCTCCGGCCTCCCCCACAGGCCCAGCTGGTCCCTGCACTGCCGCTTCTCTGACACCCTGGTGCGGTGGCTGGATGGCTGCAAGCTATAGTGGACTCTGCCTGGCTACGTTTAATACTTCCCTCACCTGTGTCACCTGCCGCCTGACAGCTCCGGGTGAACACACCTGCTTGCTTCTCTGGAGACCCAGGATGTGAAATAAACCCCGCTTGTTCCTCAGCCGGCCGTCTCTGCCGAGCCGTCACTGCTGGCCCCTGCCGGTCACCATGGTGACTCCAGGCCTCTGCTCATGGAGGGGACTTGAAGGAAGGGGATGTCTAGGAACAAGGCGCATCCACGGAGGCTAGGGCGAAGCAGGCACAGGAAAGAGAGGCACCAGGGAAATAAGGGAGTCCCAGCAGGGAGGCGGAGGCGAGCAGGCCCACTATGAGACTGCCAAGTGTTTTTAAACCGTTAAAAAGAATATGATAGCCACTTTCATGTCCATGGCTGCCCTTTAAAAGATGTCACGTCTTCAAAGTTACACAGACGTACATTGTGTGATGAGGAGACCCAGACGGAGTTATAAAGAGGGGATTAGAAATAGCCGCCATCCCCTATGGAAGGGAGCAGGCATTTTCATCGTCGTCTGCAGCCCAAGTTTAGAGGCCCTGGCTTAGGTTTGGCCTCAGCTTCTCATGTGCCCTTCTCTACTTTGGCGTGAGCGTGTATGTGTGTGAGTGTGCACGCTTCACACATGCACGTATTCCCCTTAAAGCCTGGGCCTCTACTAAGCACACAGCTTTCTAACTTAATATTTTGTGGTCTAACAGTTCCTGGTCAACCACAGGGACCCTAGCACCGTTTTTAATGACTGTATTGTATTCCGCCACACAGTCTATGATGTCTACACCCCATGGGCTGTTCTTTCCATCTGGAGGTAAACCAGTGAGGTGAGCAGTGGCCACCATTGCGGCAGATGGGACCCACTGCAAATCTGCCTCCTCCTTGTTGGCATCTTGGTCTCTTTCAGAAATGACAAGAGGTGGCTGGAAGTTAGACTCTCAGGGGCGGAACTTTGCTCAAATTCTCTAATAATCTATCAACTTCCGCAGCTCTGTGTGGCTTTCCCTCCTCTCCAGAGGGAAGGGTGTCTGGCGTTTCCCAATCCCACGGCACTGGGGGGACTGTGACATTGATGGTGCCCAAGGCAGCTGTGAAGAGTGAGCCCCACAGCTGGCTGTTTAGAGGAGCGAGTCCGGCCAAAGCCAACGTGCCGAGGTCAGAGTGACTCGCACCCAAATCCTGTCCCCACAACTAAAACCTTCTGACCAGAAGGACAGTGTTCTAATCACAACCACATATTTTATCTATTCTGTTCCTAATTGAGAATGCTTTGCCATGTCCTTTCTGAGCCTTTTTTACATTAATTTCCATAGAAACTGCATGCAGCTTTACCTCAATTACTGCCAATAAACGTGAGCTCCTGGGACTGGCCAGGGCAGTGTCGCTTGCACCGGCATTGGTTGTCTTGGCCCCCCACTTTCTTTCTTTTAGTTCTGTCTCTTAAGTGTATTTCTCAGACCTGCACTTCACTGGGCAGATGGGGACCAGAGACTTCCTGTCAGAGTCTTCAGAAATTGGTGCCCATCGTGGGGGCTCGAGCCACGTGCAATCACCTGCTCAGAGAAGCTACTCAGAATAAAAAAAAGAAAAAAAGAAAAGAATCCGCAATGCAGTGCACCTTGCATCAAGATAAGGAAGTCCAAGCCAGAAGCAAAACCGGGAAAAGGAGGTAGGTGCTTCAGATGAGAGAAGGTAGTGAGCTGGGAATAAAACACGTGGTAATCACTTTTGGCCCAAGCAGGCCTGCAGTGTTGAAATAAATGCATAAGATAGTTAAATATAATTGTCGTTTTTTCACAGAATGACACCCGCTTTCTCTCCCCTAGTTCTGTCTCTCAGTGTATTTATTTCTGGGCAGGTGGGGACTAGAGACTTCCTGAAGGAGTCTCTGGCATGGAACCATAATTTCTGGCAGATGGCACTTGCTGGTGGGGTCAGTGAGAAGTGTTTGAGACTTTTAGAGAAATTTTTGTCTTTATTTTTGGCTGCACGGGGAATTAAATCCAGGGCCTTTGCACTGAGCTACATTCCTAGCCTTTTTAAAATATTTTATTTTGGGACAAGGTTTTGCTGAGTCCCCAAGTTTCCCAGGCTGCGCTCAAACTTGCAATCCTCCTACCTCAGCTTCCCAGAGTGCTGAGATTACAGGTGTGCTGCACCACTCCCGACAGAGAAGCTTTTTTATTGACCTTGGAACCCTTCGGTGTTTCCGAGGGTGGGCCCGAGAGTGATAACTGCTGAACCTCAGCCCAACCTCCACCCAGACACCAGGGACAGCCTGCTCTCTCCTCAAGTGCCAGCCCCCGAATGCTGCCGCCTCCGTCCAGCCTGCTGCTTCTTCCTGCTCGCCATCCTCTGATGGCCACTTGTGTCAACATGGGTGTGAGGCTCGAGGACAAAGCAAATGTTAGTGTATCGACCGGCTCAGCCTCTCCCGGGTTTCCCAGCACCACCCCCTGGCCTGGCACTCTGCTAATGGGCACAGCAAGGAGCCTTCATTTGGGGCCAGATCTTTTGTCCTTGTCTGCTCTGGGGATGATCAAGGGTGGATTAGGAAATTCCGTTTGCAGAGGACCGTTACATTGATCATGACTGTAATATTGATCAAGCCCACAATTGGCTCATTTATAGAAATGAGTCCAGACGAGGTCTACGTGCCAAGGTCAGAGTAACTCGCACCGAAATTCCTTTCCCACAACTAAAACCTTTTGACTAGAAGGACAGTGTTCTAATTATAATCACATATTTTGTCTATGCTGTTCCTAATTCAAGAATGCTTTGGCTTGTCCTTCGTGAGCCGTGTTTACATTAATTTCCATAGAAACTGCACGTAGCTTGCCCTTACCCCAGTTGACTGCCAATAAAAGTCAGTGCCTGGGACTTGCCAGAGCATTGGTCATCCTGGTGCCCTGCTTTTGCTCCTAGTTCTGTCTTTTAGTTTTATTTCTCAGGCCTGCATCACACCGGGCAGGGAACTGGATGGAACCTAACTGCAGGGGTCTCTTAAACATTAACATTAACATTAACAGGGCTCTTGTTCATATTCTGTTACCTGCAGCCACTGTATTAATTCCAGTTTACTGCAAGAAATCTTTGTTATTTCCAAACCTTTCAAGATAGATGTGAATGACGCCCAGGTTACAGGCTTGGACGGGGTACAAAACTTGGCTCTTCTGCGATCTGATAAGTTATGGAGCCGGAACAGGATTCTCATGTGTGCCGATCCTGTGGCTGGATCTGTCTTCACTCCTCCCTTCCCCAGCGAGCCGGGAAGTAGGGTCTCCAGCTCTTCGGTTAAGAAGCTGCCGGGAAGAGGTACTAAGCAAGTACTTCTGGCGATGGGTCCTCCTCATTGAGCCTGGTTCCAGAGCTGAGAAACCGAGGGGACCTCTTTGTAAATGTCTTTCCCAGGTGCGATGAAAAATAATAGTGACTGCTGCTTGCAAGAGCCATCCCACAGAAAGACAGCTCGTAAAACTTCTACCTCACTCACTGGATCTGGCACCAGGTGGCACCTGACTCTTCCCCAGAGTCAAACAAACATGTAAGTTCAATGCTTTGAATCGATTCGGGACATCCAGGCAGCCAGGACAGCACAACTAAAGACAGGAAGGAGAGGACTACAGAGCAGCTGCAGAAAGTGGCGAGGACGATGGGACGGGAGAGTTCAAAGCCAGGGAGAGGATCCGAGGTGGGTTTAGGGCAATGTGTTCTTTATTGTGATTCACTTTTGATATTTCCACCTTCACTGTGTTTTTGATCAGGGGCCCTGGGGTGCTGTGTGTGATCTCCCACCAGTGCTACCTGGAGGCTCCCGGAATCCATCGCTGGTGAAACTGGCAGCAGAGCTAAGGGAGCCAAATCCAGCCTGCACTGGGGTTTTCCCTGGCAGCTGTGGTGAACAACTCAGAGAGTTGCTGCTGCTGCCAGGAGGCCGGGAACCTTCAGGAAAATGCTGCTGGATGCCCAGCCCTTGGAGGAGGAGGCCCCGGGGCAGGGCATGGTCTGTCGCACAGCACAGCACAGCTTCTGCAGGGTGGAGAAGCCAGTTACTGCAGAGCCTCTGGGAACGCGCAGCTTGTGATGTGGACTGTGTCTGTGCCCAGGGAGAGCAGGGTGGCCGTGCGATGGGCGCAGAATGGACAGGCATTGTGACAAGGTGTCCCTGCTACAGAGCCCCGGGCAGTGAGGGCCCACGTGGGCGGGCAGCTCCAGGGACGGCTCAGCCTGTGCTTAGGACTTTTATTGGAGACGGCCCCATCCCAGCCCCTGGGCACCTCCTCTGCCAGGCTGGGGACTTGGTGGTGAGGCTGGCAGGCGGCTCCCAGACGGAAGAACCTGGCCTCTGAACAACCTTGGGCCTGGTGCGGAGTCAGCCCAGAATCTCCAGCCAGATGGGTGTCTGGGCTGCAAGCTTGAGCGTGAGTGTGAACACGAGTGTGGGCAGGAGTGTGGGCGAGCACAGCCGGGTGCCGCTCCTCCTGCTGCTGTCACTGTCCCAGGTCATCTGCACTTTTAGAGCTGGGGTAGACTCTGCTGGTGGCCATGTCCAACCTGGAGTCTGACCCCGGGGCCAGGGCAGCGGCTCTGCCTGCCCAGCACCTGTCTGGGTGGCTGAGATGCATCTGGACCCTGCTGAGAGTGCCCACTGCCCAGTGGCTCCTGCATGCTTCTCTGGCAGCTGGGAGGGGAGAAGGGGAGCCCCTCTTCCTGGCGGCTCATGGTCAGGAGGTAGGCGGACGGGTAGGCTCGGAGTCACCCCTGCTCTGTGCCCCCCCACCGGTGCAGTCTCTGCCCCGCCAGGGGTGGGTGAAAGCTGCTGCTGGGCTCCTGGAGGCAGACCCAGCACAGGACAGAGGCCGAGGCTGTGGGAGACGTGGCCTTGGCCGGGAGGAGGACCTGGGTGGGTGGGCCTCAGAGGTGCAGAGGGACAGAAGCAGTTCCCAGGTGAGCTGGGAAAGGGGAACAAGGACCTGGGGTGTTTTCTCCATTTCCCATTCATTCTTTTCTAAGTCTTCCCCACCCTGTGCCAAGGAGATCAGTGGAAGAGAGACAGCGAGGGGCAGAGGGAGCAGCGGCAGCCCCACCCGTGCCCACAGGGGTCTCGTGAGGGCTACACATCCCCTCCAGGAGAAGCTGGGCCCTGACCAGGGCAGGCAGGACCTTCCCCACCCCTCCTCCCTTTTACAGCTGCAAGAACAGCGCATGTGACATCCTGTGTTCCAGCGAGGCCCATGCCAGGTGGTTTGCATAAAGGACCCCAGTAAATCTCGAAGCCCGACCTCCAAAAGCAGGTGTCTGTGTCCCGGCCCTCCTCCTGCCCAGGGAGAGCTTCCCCTCGGCTGCAAAGTGGGAAGGACGGTGTCTGGGCACGGTGAAATCTCCCAGAGCACTGCGTGGTCTACCAGTACTATGCTCACATAAGGAAATGATCAGATAAGGCTTGCAAAGAAATGCAAACAAAATGGTGGAAGATGATAACAGAAATGAAAAGTATAAATACAAGGGCAAGTTTTAAACATAAAGGGCAACAAACCCCCCTGTAGCCACCGGGCGGCGTCCTGTAGTACTGACTCAGGCCCATCTTGTCTCCCCCACACCCCTGCCTGTCTTTAGTATCAGATTTCTTCAAAGCAAACCCAAGACACCAGAGGGTCCTCTCCATGAGTGCCACAGTCTTTCTGAAGAATAAAGGCTGAAAAAGAAGCAGGCAGAAGCATTAGCACATCCGGAAAAATTAAGCGATTCCTTAAAATCAACAAACTTCATGATTTCATTTTGAAAGATAAGTTTCCAAAAAGGGAGAGAATCTTCTCGTTGCTTTTCCTAAAAAGCTGCGTCACCCTTGTGATAGGCAGTGTCACGCCCCAGGTGTGTGCCCTGCTCCCTAAGCCTGTGGACAGGTGTCTTTCTCGGGAGAAGAGCTCTGACCCTGGGCTGGGTGCGAGGGCCGGGCATTCACAGCCGAGAAGCACAGGGCGTCTCTGGTCTCGTTTTCTACCCTTGCACCTGCCAAGGAAACAGCTCCGCTGACACTGGGTTTCAGACTTCTGACCTGCAGAACTATAAGATGATATATCTATATATTTTTAAAGCTATTAAAGTTGTGCCATTGTGTTACAGAAATAGCAGAGCAAATGTAAGCCCACTGGCTTCCTTAGTCCGCACTTTACCTGCGCTGGTGGCATCTGCCCCATGCCGGACAATGTGCAGTCCTGCTGGTCTCTGCCCGCCTCACCAAGTCCACCCACGAAGTCCAGTTCCCGAGAGCTTGGGAGGTGGGGACTCTACTGGCGCTGGGGCCCCAGGGCCTGACCTTTGCGCGAGCTAATGTCACAGTCCTGAGGGTGGCCCACGTTCTCTATCTCCTGCAGCCACTCCGGCTTGGAATTGCCAGGCTCCGGAACCAAGGGCCAAAGAAATCTCTGCTCATTAGAAACTTCCCAGTCTCAGGGATTCTTCTCTCTCTCTCTCTCTCTCTCTCTCTCTCTCTCGTCTCTCTCTCTTTCTTTCTTTCTTCACAATGAAGCTTAAAACCAGTTAAGCACTTCCTTTTTTTTTTAAGAGAAAGACTCTAATGGTACAGTATATATTCTCTACATGCTACAGTTAGTTTCATCACCCCATTTGTTCATACTCATGTTCTGTGTTAAAAGGAATCGAAAGCTGCCACCAGAATCTGTCATTTTCCCAAGAGGGTGTGAGAAGTGCTGAGTTATCCAGGGGTCCCCAGCGTCATCCTTCGAGCAGACACAAGCTGGTGGGACAGAGCTGTACACAGCCCACTGTGCCTGAAGGGCTGTAAGAAGGTGACCAGAGCTGTCATCCCTCCTCCAAGTGGAAGGAGTTCCTGCTAATAATTACGGGCACAAAGGCATAAACAGGCGCACACGGGAAACTCCAGAACCTTGGTTGTATCAGAATTGCTTATTGCTGTGGTAAGCCTGTTGGGGGGCGCCATCCACTTTAATGTCAGGGATGTGACTATGAAGACCACTGTGTCTGGTCTTTTCAAGGACAAAAGAGGTTAAGCCCCTGGTCTCTGGGGCTCCAAAGCCTTCCTTTAGAGTAGAGATCAGACAGGGAGAAGAAGACAGAATGCTGAAATGTGATGAGGGGCCTGATCCCTTCGCAGGATAGCACCAGACCAGATGTCGCCCCATGGGGCTGGACAGTCAGCCTTTGGAAAACATGCTCAGGAGGTGGCCCAGGAGGTGAGGAGTAGGGAAGCCCTTCTTTCCCCCATTTAAATTCTGCAGCTCTGCAGCTCTGCTTGGGACCCTCACCTGTAGTCCAGGGCAGGTGCAGGCCTCAGTGCTAGCCAGTTTCTCACTCACTGAGGCCAGGGTCCTCTGACACCGAGTATCTTTGGCCTATGCGTGGTATGGCCGTCCACAGTACACACAGAAGCACGGAGGGGTGGGCCTGGACAACTAGCAAGGGGGCCAACACTGCCGAACAGAGTTCAGGTTGTGCAGTATCTACTGCCGCAGTCCAAAGAGAAGGGCAAGGCCTCCCATAGGGCAGCCACTCTGACACTTTAGAGGCTCGGCACAGGGCTGGTGATGGAGCTCAGCGGCGCCATGCCTGCCTCACCAAGGCAAGGTCCAGAGTTCCATCCCGGTAACAGAAAATAAAAAGAGACTGGGCACAATGAAAGGATGGGGAGCCAAGCCATGAAGTGTGTTTTTTTCAGTGTTGGGGATCCGACTTGGGGCCTCAACGAGGCACACACTGCCATTGGGCAACACTCCTGGCCTGTTCTCAGTGATGTCAGACTGCCGGCTGCTTGGAGGAAGGAGCGATTTCTGCTTTGTCCCTTGTTATGGGGTACTTGGTAATAAATGCTAGGCCGACACATTCAGTCCAAGGACCTTCTGAAGTCCCAGGGAGTTGGGGCACCTCTCCTTTAGTGTGGTGTGTGTAACTTTGCCATTTCCACCTGGTACTGAAATTCCCAGTGGACTAAAAAAAATTGTTGAAGGCCAAAGACTTTGCCCTACAAATCAGTTCTATGGAGCAGCCTTGAGGCAGAAGCCTAAAATGACTACTGAAAGCCAGGCGTGAGTCCTGGCATTTCCTAGGACATTGAAAGTGGTTTAATCTGGAGCTCAGCTCTCCCCACGTCTCCCCTGAAGACAATGACGTATGTCTACCAAACGGGAAATGATGAGTCTAACAATCTGAGCCTATTTTATCAAGTGCTGGTCCTTCCTTTCAAATATTCTAAGTGTCTGGTGGCTTCTACAACATGCAGTGCATTTGCCTGCAGATGTTAAGATAGAGCAGTCATCACAAGGTACTGAGCAGGGGTGAGGACAGAAAAGCCACCTTCACCCCTGCCCATTGCTGGATCGGGATTCTTTTATAGCAGCATGGAGGGACCACTTCAGACAGGTAGGTGTCAGGAATGCTGCTTTGTGGGCGCAGACTTAGGCTCAGAGAGTTTTAATAACCACGTCCACCTGGCCGGGAAGAGGCAGGGTGAGACCTGAACCCTGGCTCTCTGGGGCTCCCAAACCCCAGGATCACCACGGTGCTCAGTGAAGAACAGTCTTCCCTGGTAGGAAGGAGATTCACAATCTGTATAAGTCTAATTAAGTTAATCTGTCAAGCACTTGTTTTTGGTGAAAAGCACTTACGTTAGTACATTTTAATTGTTTCTCCTATTAATTTTTTATCAAGCAATATAAGCTCATAAAGAGCTGTGGAAATTTACACACCTTCCTCTTTCTCTCTCCCGGGAAGGAAAAACATGCCCACTCTTTTGGTTGATGCTTTGGTATTTATTTCTGTGCTTTCCTGGCCACCCTCCCATCCGGTCCCTTCCATGTGGGTCTGTCGATGTCCAGCCTTCATTTTGGAAGTGAAGATGCTTTTCATAGCCAAGTGGGTGTTTTCTTCTTTAGGAAATCATTGTTATTTTGCTGCTTCGTTTCAACCCCGGCCTTTCTCCTTCCAGGATTTTCCTGTTAGCTTTTCTTTCAGTGGCTCCTGTTGACAAAACCTCCCCCTCGGTGCCTTCGGGCCGCCGGAGTCGCCCGTCCCCTCCGTGCCAGCACACCTGCCACCCCAGTTTTTCCGTTTATTGTTGCCACTTGTGCCTGCCTCCCGGTTGGTCAGTGCCTGGTTTCCCAGAGCACACGCCTTCTTCTTTTGTGCCTTGCTTTATTGGAACACTTCCTCCAGGAGCTTTTTTTTTTTAAAGAAAGAACTGGGACTATTTTGAAGTCTCTTGAGAACTTCACTTCAGAAGTGTCTGTCCTGCCCCCTGACATTTGGATGTAGAATTTGGGATCACAAACACTTTTCCTGGGGAGTAGGGGTTACTTTGCTCCTATTCAGGTTCTCTGTCTACAACCTGTCTTTTCTTCCTGGAGAACTGTAGGAAGGCCTCAACATTTCCAAACTGCACAAGTGCTTCTTACTACTCCCTCTACTTTGTGGGGTCTTTCAATCTGGAAATGTTCTTTTTTGTTAAGTTTTTTTTTTTTTTTTTTTTTTTTTTTTTTTAGATCATGATATGTAGTCCATACTGGCCTCAAATTCACAATCTTCCTGCCTCAGTCTCCCAAGTGCTGGAGTTACAGGCATGCGACATACCACGCCCAGCCTTTTTTGTTTTGTTTTGAGACAGAGTCTAACTACGTAGCCCAGGCTGGCCTTGAACTCACAGTGATCCTCCTGCTTTAGCTTCCTAAGTGCTGCGACTGTAGGCGTGCACTACCATGCCTGGTTTACAACCTGGAAACCCTCTGACGTTCTGGGAACTGCCTTGGGTTATTTTGTAGATGGTTTCCTCTTTTATGATGTTTCTCTTCTCTCTTTCTGGCATTGCTACTTTTGGATGCTACCTATCCTGTATTTGTCATTCATTCATTTAAATAATTTCTCCCATTTCTCTTTCTTTGACTTTTTCCTCTACTTGCTAGGAAAATTTCTCAGCTTCTGTCGAACTTTCCATTGACATTGTTTCATTTCTATTTTCACACTTCTTAACTTCTGTGGGTTTTCTTCATCTTCTGAATGCTTCTTTCTTGTCTTCTCCTAGGACCCTGGATCTGTTTTGAAGATGCACTGTTTTTTTTTCAGGATAGACTTTTTTATTTGTTTTGTAGTAGTAGTCTCTTTCTTTTAAATTTCCTCCTGGTTACGACCTGTATTTAAAGTGGTCCACTGTTGAGGACCAGCTAAGACATGGTATAGATTGGCGGGGCCAGAAACAGACCCCATACTCTCAAGGTCATTGTCAACTTTCCCCAAAGAGGAAAGTATACAAAAGACCCACACTTCTAGCTGTTTGAGAAAGCCGTGCTCACACCCCTTCCCAGACAAGATAACTCCTGCTGGAGATGAAAACAATACAGGCATCCCAGTGTGGGGAAGGACCTTCACTTTGCCCCGTAAGATGCTAAACGTGGTCCCTGTCTTGCTACCCTCGCTGCCTCACCTGGGATAGTGCTCTACCCCTCCTCTGCGCTTCTTGCTGAATAACTAAAGCAGGCCCATGTAGAGTTCATAAAAGCCAGCCCACTGGAGATAAGTCCCTCTCAGCCCCTTACATATTAAGTATTGTTTGTGCCTCTTTATTCCCCGTCATCCTCCCTACAGGTACTGGGGCCTGAAGAGCTCTGATATTCCTCAGCTGTTGCCTGACAGGTGCTTGCCGGTTTATACCTGGAGTGGGCATGAACTCCAAGGCGGTGCGTGGATTACTCCTAAAGATGGGGCCTCCACGGGTCCCTGCACATCTCTGATGTCAGTTGTTGAGGTCTTCTGCGCTGCTCGTGTCCCCTCTGAAGTCTCTCCAGCCCCCGCCTAGAGTTTTAGGTCTGGCTGTCCTATGCTTGGAGCCAGTTTGGGAAGGTTGAGAAGTGGGCTAGATCCCAGCTTTCCAACGCATAAACATTTATTTATCCCCTGATTTCAGCATGCACAGCCTCTCCTAAACTAGTTCAGATTGCGGCCTGGGCCTCTCTGGGTAACAGAATCATGAGCTCCATTCTGATACTGAACCTCGCGTTTCCTGGCTTCTGTCAAAGCTACAGCATCTCTCATGGAGTGGGAAAGCAACTGCTCAGCCTGTTTCTCCACACCTCAGTTGTAACTGCCACCAGCCACTCAGGCTGCCATGAGGCAGCTGCCACAGTCCCCTGCTGCCCTTCCTCCAATGCGCTCTGCATTGTGCTCAGAGCTGAGATGCCCTGTAGCCGTGGGACAGGCTGACAGCATGCTGCTTTGTCTGACTTCATGGCTGCTGACCACCAGCAAGAAAAGTGGTGGCAGGGTCTCTTGCCCTGGGTGGAACCAGCCTGCCCAGGTCCCCTGCTGGGGCCACCGCTCCCTCTTCTTCCCACTGGCTCTGTTTGCTTCCCTGCCACCTTCTGCCCCCACGAGTGCCTGGGGCGTCACGAACACTTTATACCCACGACACCCGCCTCCCTTTGCTTTATAAGCGACCACGAAAGACCTGGGTGGAATCATGAATTTGCCTTTGCCGGATTTCAGCCTTTGAGTCTTTATCGATTCATCTGAAGAAAGACTTTCCTGCAAGAGGATTAATGAAAGCCACAGATTATTTAAGAATTTTAAAATAAGGAAGAAGGGACGAGGCGGGCCGTATTCTTCACTGGCTATGTAGAGGGATGGAAGCCAGTGGGAGCTTCACACCGACACAGGATTCTGAGGTTTGACGGAAGCCGGGAAAAGGGAAGATCAGCATCAGAGTGAGCAAGCCTTTACCGCTGACAGAACACACTGGAAAGCTCCGGAAGGAAACGGCAAAAACTATCCCGAGTTATAAGTATTCTGAAGGCCAAGTCTCACGGGAAAGCTTATGCAATTTACTGGCTTCTCTGCCAGGTCCCATTTCCCGGGGAGGCGATCACTGAGGAATACAGAGTTCTACGGAAATAAATCTGCCTCTCCCCAGAGAAATGCTCCTAGAAACTTATTTACATTTGCCCTTTAAAGCGTGCCGTGGGAGAGACTTTCGGAAGGCGCGGTTCCGGTAACTGACTTTCGTTAGAACCCAGACGTATTACATTCCAGCTGCAGCTGCTTCTTCCAGAGCACAGAACACTGAAAGCCATATAGCTCTCCGTGAGGGGACAGAAGCACCCTCAGGATCACCCTGTATTCAACAAGCGCTTTACAGCGTTTAAATTGCCAACTGTGGCAAACCAGAATAGGCCAATTACATTCTAGGCAGGAGAAGCAATACAGATTCAGATGCAAATGAAATAAAGCCATACAGATCTAGCTTCACGTGAATCACCGTATGACTCACGTACACATGGTGTGCCGGAAAGTGTCCAGCATGGCCAGGTCTGACTCATCGCAGGGACTGGTGCTGGTGGCCTGCTTCTGTGGACCCGCTGAGAGAGACTGGGATCTGGTCCAGCTCTCTCTTCCCTTGCTCAACCACAGTAGAAAGGAACACCGGCTGTGGGAAGCTCTCAGTCCACCCACAGGGGACAGTGCAAGAGCTGTGCCCTGACCGTGTGTGTGTCCCATTGCAGACTTTGACAGAGCAAGCATTCACCAGACTTTCGTTCTGTGCCAGAGTCTACACCACGCTGATACTTAGCCATCGGGAAGATGACTGCTGCGGTCTAGAGAGGTAGTCCTTCATTTGTGGCCTGTGCGCTGTGTACCTCTCACCTGATCTTCTCAGCACCGAGGGGATTGTACCGATTTCTCAACTTCCCTGGGACGCGAGCGGCTGTGGAGGTGCAGCAGTTTCCCAGCAGTTTCTGCAGAGAGCCGGTCACCAGGCTGGGGCTGGAGTGGCCCGGTGGTTGCTACTCTGAGCCACCTCCCAAGAAGCTGCTACAGCCTAAAGGAATTTTTAATACATGAACTTTGGAGGACAAGGAGAGATGACATCAAGAGCAAATGGCAGCTGCAAGGTGGAGGCTTGTTTGGCAAGGGAGACCTTGCCACTGACCCTCTGAGATGCCCGGCCCGGCCTTGCTGAATTTCAGAGGCTGCTCTCTCTGTGGGCCTGAGCTGCCGTGGGAGGAGCCCACCAGGACAGGAATGCTGTGTTCGAACCAATCCCAGCTCCTCTCCATGGGAGCCCTGAGACTTTGCCATCCCAAGTCCTGTACCACTGGGAGCCGCTCGGGAACCCTATGACCCAGCTCCCCATGGGTGGGTTTTGTCCACAGCGTGTGTCCCTGTACTCTTGGCCATCCCTGCAGATCCCAGGGAGCACCCAAACTTGGGTCACATTCGCTGTCCTTGGACAGAGAGACCTGGGTGCCTGGGAGCTGAGTCAGAGCGAGGTCAGCACCAGGCAGGTGGTCAGCAAGCCGCGGGCGAGTGCACAGTGCTCTGTGGATGCCTGCCTTCTCCGGAAGGGCACACTGGCTTTTCTTTTTCCTCCGCTGGAGACAGCAGTGTTTACCTAACAAAGATTACTTTGTGCCAAAGCCAGCAGCGTAGGCTTTTCTCATTTGCCACCCAAAAGTAGCCTAAGACACTGGAGATTATTAAAGCCCAGCCAGTGGTCCACCCTTGGACACACAGTGAGGTTAACGGAGGAGATGACGCAGTGGAGGCCACCAGCCTAGGCCCCTCGGAATGCTCCACTCATCCTCGGACCCCCTTCTGTCCCCTGTCCTCTCTGGACTGCGGTCCTACAGCTTCAGGATCTCGTGGTCCTCTGCCTGTCTTATTTACATCCCTAACACAATTTCCAGGCTTGAGGTACAGAACACAGGATGAAAAGCCAGGGAGATTTATTCCATTCCCTAGTCCTGGAGATCGGGGGCAGTTTATATAAATTCTTGCTGTTGCTGAACAATTTAATATACCATTGTCTAGGCAACAGAATTTCCCTCAATTAGATTTTAAGCGAGTATGGGAGGGAGCTTTCCCCTTGCTCTCCAGCAACATTAGGTATTTGTAGGAACTTCGAGCCAGATTCCCCGGCAGCCCTGTTATCCCTTGGCTTCTGCAGAGGGTGTAAGACTGTGGGTGGGAAGAGCCCAGGGGCACAGGGCGGGTGCTGCAGAGGCCCCTGGCAGAGGATGGGCTTCGGAGCCTGAGTGGCCGAGGCACTGGTCCTCAGCCTTGGCAGCCCTGAGAGTCCATCCTGTCAGAAGTTACTGGATTCTTGGCAGGCACATGCAGGGAGCGGCCTACAGCAAAAGGAGACACAAAAGAGCTTGGTGCAGGCAGCCTGAGGGGCTCCTGGGCCGGCCAAGCACATTTTCTCCCTGAGGTGCAGCTCCGCAGGGAGCCAGCGTAAACGTGGACTTGGGGAGAAGCCCCGGGCTGAGGGTGGGTGCTGCCTCTGCTGCTTCCTGCTGCTCTGTGGTCACCTGAGGAGCCTCTCTGCCAAGGGCCGATGTCACCATAGGCCCGGGCCTCTGTGTGCCTTTGAGCTCCAGCATGAGCAGAGCCTGAGGCGTCACTCTCAGCACAGCCCCGGTCCCCTCTTGGCCACACTCTTGGAAATGACTGCAACTGCAGCTGGGCGTGGGGTGAGGCTGCCTCTGATGGGGATGTGGTGACCAGACAGGAGGTGGCCTGTTCCGTGAGGAGAGGTGACGCTGGGCACCGTTTACAGAGTGCTGCCTAGGCCTTGGGGTCATCAGCCCCTTTAAACCCACAAGGAGACAGCTAATAGATTTCCCAGCGGACGAACGGCAGGTTTGGTAAATTGACTCCTTTTGTTGAGTTAGTTCTAATAGACCACTTTGCATCCATCTTTACGATAGCACTTGGACACGCGATGTCCTTGCTCCTGCTTCCTAGAGCTGCCATGGGAGCCTGTGGTGAGGAGCAGGGAGGAGAGGGACAGAAAGGATGCCGTGCATTCTTCAGCAGCTCTCACATACACCTGTCAGCCGCGTTTCCTTGCGCCTGTGTGAGTCTTCCTGGAAGGAACGTGTTCTCACAAGTGTGTTTTTCCGCCACCCTCGTGCCTCCCTCTCTGCTCCATCCTCCAGCTGTAGGAACAGAGATCAGGGACGACACGGTCGGATATCCCGTTGCTGAGAAACTTGACCGAGGTAACAGTGACAAGTGTTAGAACACAATGTTTAGACAATCTGTCTGACACTGAGTTGGGGTCGTTGTGCTGCTCGGCAGGACAAAGGCACAGGAGGGAGGAGAGACTGTGCCACAGGATGGCTCCCGGTGCACCAGAGAACTGCACTCAAACTCCAAGATCTACACAGGCCAGGAAGGAGGGAGAACAGCCACAGAGTAAAGGAATTAGAACAGTCTCATTTCATGTCCTCTAAGAGAGCCCACAGTGCAAAGTGCAAGACCATGAGGACGGTGGGGACCTGGGCACCGGCAAACTGAGGAGGGAGTTTCCGTCAATGCTGCAGACCCTGTCAGTTTTTACAAAGGGATGTTCTGCCTGTGACGCCCAGTATCCCAAGCAGTGGGCCTCACTGAACCACATGGTTACCGGACATGGTCCGCGACTTGCAGCCCTGAGAGTTGTTTGGCGTGGAGCTTTCCTGTGTCCTGCACCGGGGAATGGGTGCCAGTGGGTTGGGTGTGGTGAGGAGGGGATCGGGAGTTCTGATGACCGGGAGGATTAGATGGAGAGGTCAAGAAATAACTTTGAGGTGTAGACGAATAACACTGGACCACTACAAAGCAATCGATTCCGGATGGATCGCTCAGCACCTACAGTGAATGAAGAGCAGACTTCGGAACCTGAAAATCTGTCACCGGATTAATCCCAGCTCCTTTGCTTACCTGCTGTGCAACCCCAAGCAAGTCAACTTTCCCCTTGGTGCCTCGCTTCCTTCAGCCTGAATGTCTGTGTGATTTCAGTGCAACAAAATATTAAAGGCAAGATAAGTAACAGATGGGAGGTTCTCAAGAAGCTGTGCTTGCTAAATAGCAATAATGAGAATTATTGTTAGGACACTAATGATAGCTATTATTATCACCATGTATGTTTGTAAGCCCCAGGCAGGCTCTGATGGGAACTCAGTTTCCAAAAGTCCTCCTGTGCAACTCCTGTGACAGTGCTGAAGCACTTGGGTGTGATTTTCTTGCCTTGCTATCCTTGCATTTAGAAGCCACAAAGCCCAGCAACCTTTTTTCGGCAGACAAAGCATCAGGGGACTCCAGTAATCCACTGGATCCTAACTCAGCGGAAAGTCTGATGCTGGCCTTCAGTGGTGTCTCACACCTCTATCCCCTGGCCTTCAAGGGCTGCTCTGCCCCGAGTGGGCTTATGAAGAAAGCAGGCCATCCTTGGGCACGGGCTCCTAACTGTGTTCCTCCCCTTCCAGCTCCCCTGGCTGCAGTTGCCTCCTGCATTGTCCAGCTCAGCCCAAGCTGGGTCACCACAGGAGATGGACAGGCAGACCACTGCGGGCTGTGTCCCAGAACACAGGCACGTCTGCCCAAGCCCATGCTGGGCTCCATGGAAGAGCTTGTTCTGGGTGCTGGGTGAGGGGAATGTGTGTGAAGCCAGGACTGTGTTTTGCAAAGAGCGAGCAAGTCTCCCTGACACAGCCCCACCGTGGCCCAGGTCAGTCTGTCCTGCCGCAAGGTGACCCACCACCGGAGCACACACCCCAGGGCTTCGGGTAGCTTATGACAAAGGCTAGAACCCTTCCCTTGGTCCTGACACAGTCCCCACTTCCACAGCAGTCCCCAGCCCCACACAGGTCCAGTCCAGACTTGGATGGCTTCCTCCCATGGACGCTGGGCTCTCAAAACTGTGTTGGCCATGGCTGACCAGCTGCCGTGCCACCAGTCGCCACCCCAAGGAAGAGGCAGGATAGTACCGCCCAGGAGCCCACTGTGCAGGGACAGCTGGCTGCAGCCCATAGAGGCAGGGGCGCTATTATTTTAAGCATCCTCTTGGGCACAGAATAGCAACAGCCTTTATGGTGATGGAGGTTGGCATGGGCTGGCGATGCCCCCACCAAAAGGCTATGTAGGAAGACAGTGGAAGAAGCCCACTGGAGATTCTGGAGCCCGCTTTGCCAGGGCACCTCCTCCCCCTGTGAGGAAGAGAGCGCTAAGGCTCTGCAAGGCTCCCTTCTGGTTCCGTCCTCCATGTCTGTGTGGACCTGGGCTCTGGGCGTGCCACACCCCACCTCTTCAGTGGGCTGCAAGCTGTGTGTTTGTGAGTGTGGTTGGCGTGGATCCATCTCCTGTGGGTGAAGGGCTGAGGGGATTTTAGTGTGGATGCCTTGTTTGGGTGATGTTTGGCCAATGGCTGACCGGGCTCCGCTCTGCCCTTCGACAGGGTGAGCAAAATGGTGGCCACGCCCGCTGCAGATCCAAGGAAACACACAGTGGGTCAGGCATCTCTATCATCGCACTCTGGCCCCAAATTCTCCAAGAGGTGGAGATATTCTGCTGCTCAGATGGCCAGCAACGCTTTAAAGCACGGCTTTGCTCCAAGCCTGGGCTTGGCACCACATGGACCCCTGTGCCCTGGGCAGGAACGAGTATGGTTGACACAGACTGAGGAGACAGCCTCATCGCGGTCCTCGTGGTAAGGGAACAAGCCACACAGCTCCACAGTGGAAGACAAGCACCGGCCCACTAACGACAGCTGCTGGGGGGGGGACCAGGGAGAATGGGGGAGCTGCCCGGAGGAGGCGGTGCTCAGTGGCGCACAGGACTCAGCAGCTGGGCACGGAGAGGGTGCACGAGTGGGCTCAGTGCCCTCTGGTGGGGGGCCTGGTCCCAGCTCACATTCTTCCAGCCGGATCCAGAGGAAACTAGGGGAAGAGCAAGATGGAGCCCGGAAAGGATGGAAAGGAGCAGCAGGTGGCACGAGGAAGCTTCTGGACCCAGACTGAGGAGGAGGATTCTGTAAGACACGTGCAGCCAGGCTCTAGCAGTCGGTGCTGAGTCATAAGTGCTGGAAATCAATTCCAACCCACAGGAGCAAAGAGAGGAATTTCTTAGAAGCATTTGATAAAGCCCATGGAATTGGAGATAAAGCCAACCGGTGAGGCCCAAAAAACACAAGGCCAAGAACCCCTAGAAGGAAGCCGTGGTAGGAGCCAGGGCTGTGTATCAGTCAGGGGTGACCGCAAAGTGCGGCCTAACAAGCAGGCCTCCCATCTTCTTCCTGGCACGGGCTTGGGCACAGGCTAGGATGGCTCCACTCAGTCTGCCTGGTCCAGCAGGCAGAGGGGCCAGCAGAGGCACAGAGGACACGGGGCCTTGGCCCTGCTCTGCTAGTTTCATTGGCCACAGCAAGTTCTGCAAGAAAAAGAAGGAAGAGAGTGCAGGGGGTCGTTTCCTGGCAGGTGGCCGGACCCCCAGGTCGGGGCAGTTTGTGTGGGTCATGGTGCTGGAGGCCCCCCGTCTCCCCCGGCCTCAGTGCATCCAGCTCTCTGGTCTCTGCCCCACTGGGAGCTGCTCGGAGTGTTATGCACCCAGATGCTGAGGGAGCTCTGAGCCTTGCGGCCCCAACAGTGACCGGTGGGAAGTGCTGAGGACCCACGAGGTGAGGCCACACAAGGCTTAGGGGTACAGGAGGGACTCCCTCCTCCCTGGGACCAACTGTACAGTGCTGAATGGCTCAGCCATCCTCAGGATGGGGAACGAGGCTTCCCCCCACAGTCTGAAGCCGCCCCCACCCTACTCTGCACTGGGTTCCTCTGGGGAGCGGCGCGGCTGTCGCATCTCATGCTGTGCCTCTGGACGCTCTCCAGTTTGAAGATAAAACTTTTTATTCCAACTGGTGATTTTCCTCTCTTGGCCAGGGCCGAAGCTTCTGTTCTATAAACAGGGCTTGGTTGCTAGGTGACGGCCGCAGCCCCGGTCCTGGATGCAGCTGAGGCAGAAAGAAACCAAAGAGATCCGAAGCTTCTACTCTGAAGACAAGATGTGCAGCTTAGGAGGAGGAAGCCCTGCGCTAATTGGAGAGTTACATAAAAGCCAGGCGCGGCTGCCACCCGCCCTCGCTCTGTCCAGGGCATGGGATGCTGTTCATGTGTTCTCTAAAATCGGGAGAATAAGAGTTGATGTGATAAATATAGTCGGCTCTGGACTGGGAGAGGAAACTTCTAATTGCCTGACTCCCTCCGGCAGGCTGCACCTCCATTAGCCCGAGCCAGGAGTGAGCTTATTAAACACTTAGATCTACAGAGGATGGTGCTGTCGGGGCCTCTGACAGCTGTGCCGGGATTTAAACTTTTCATTAAAACAGGACAGAGGCTTCGCAAATCAATGAGAGATAGAGGAATGTTCCAGGAGGAAAATGCACGAAGAACATGTATACATAATTCACAAAAGAGCCACACATGGCTGAAAACAAATGAAAAAATTTCCAAATTCATTCACAAGCAAGGAGACACAGGAAACAATAATGAGAAAATATTTCTAATCTGGTAAATGGCAAACATTTTTAGGACACTGTCTAGGACCGGCCACGCTGAGGGAAGGCCTCTCTGCAAAGTGACTTGGCCGCGTCCTGAAAGCCCAAAACACATACACAACTTTTGACTAAGCAATGAGGAGATACCCTTGTTTACAAATACAGCCTCATGGCGTTATTGATAAAGAAAGAGAAACTGGAAAAATATCTAACAATGCTACATTAGTTAGATAAGACGAAATCACTTATTCCATGCAAAATTGTTCTCAAGATTGTGAAAGAAAGAAAGCAGATTATAAAGTCGCACACCTACTTGAGCTTATTCTTGTAGAATGGAAATGAAGGGAGTACAGAAAGCGCCACAAGTGGACGTTCCCAGACTTTCTTGGCCCGTGGACGTGTTAGAGGCGCCAGTGTTCTTGCTGGAGCTGGTGGGCAGAGCCCAGCCCTGCCCCAAATGACAAGTGGCCCAGCCCTCCATTGACAACTTAGTGCCTTTAGTTTGCACTGAGTCTGGCTGAGGTTGCTGTCCTCCCACTGCATCTCTGAAACCACCTGTACAGTTTCCCATCGCGCCTGGGGATGCCTCCAAACCTCCCCGAGAGCCACAGCTACAAACCAAAGTGTGCTAGTGGGGCACTCCCCATGGTGCCATGGGATGTCCTGGGAATCACACCTCAGAAAGCAGGGTGCCCCTGGGCTCTTCCACTTTAGCAATGCCAGGGCCTCAGCCTCAGTGCCCCCCACCATCACCCTGAGCCCCATCCAGACTTGTCCCTCTGCCAGGCTACCCTCTGATGACCTCTGCTCTGCTCCCTGGGATGCCCCCTTGGGAGCTACTTCAGTTCCATCCACCTGGCATTAGTGGGCACTTCAAAAATGCTTGACAATTTGAACTTAGGCCTTGAGGGATGGGGTTATTTGTCATTTTAGGAGATACATTTGTTAGCATGGTTCTGGGAGCAGCTGGCATCCTTGGTGTCCTCACTATCAGAAGGCAAGGATCTCGGTTGAGCTTGGGAGGGCAGCCTATATTCCTAGGCGGTGTGGGAGACCACAGAGGGCCACCCAGACCACCAGAGCTCCAGCCCTGGGCTTGGAGCAGCACTTACTGTTTTGGAACTGGAAGGGCCTGGCCCACAACAGCCACGTACAGCCACCAGGCCACTACTTCACAAGCTGTTACTTTCTGTTGCTGGTCCACCCAGGAAGGGATGGATGGGCACTTCCGGTTGCATGGCCCTGCACCAGGGGTGAGAGAGGGGCCACTGGATATCCCAGGAGACAAGACGGCACCACTCCAAAGTGAACCAGGCCTTGGCTGCTGGGGTCCTCTCTGGGGATGACGGGGACACCAGAAGAAGGGACTGGTATGGCATGAGTGGGCTTGGACAAGGCCAGCTGTTTACTGCAGAAAATCAGAAAATGGCAACAAGTAAAACTTTTTAGAGGTAAAAGCATTCTCTCTCTGCAGCTTAAGGAAGCTGCCTGTGGTGACTTTGGCACGATTTGTGGAAGATTAGATTCTT